TAGCATCTCTACTGAGTGGTGGAGCCAGATTTCCTTTGGTCAACAGGCCAACATTTTAGTTTTAGGAAAGAGGAACTTCTTGATTATAGCCCCTGGAGCTCCTTAAGGCCCAGCAACAAAACAGAGACAGAAATCAAATGACTTATTTATTTGCATTCATGAAATCCACGGGGGGGTGGGGGGGTGAAACATGACTGTGCTTCAGGCAAACTTGAGAGACACAGCACTGATGTCTCCTTCCACTGAGAAATACCGTGCAGAATTCATCCCAAGACGATTGGGGAACTGGATTTCTTTATCTCCATTTATCTTCACCTTTATCTCCTCATGATGGAAGGTCATATGGATCTGTTAAGACAAGGTCAAAAGTTAATTCCTCGATGACCCACAGAAAGTGGAAATCCAGATCCTTCCTTCAGCCCATCAATAAATGTAACCTAAATAAAGGCGAGTTAGGTTTGGAGGCAGAACAACCACCACTCCATATAGTTCAAAACATAGACAGTTTTGCCTGTGGACCACCAATTATTGCTCCAATTAGGGGGATAAATATATTAGCAGAACCAATGGCAGGACTTTGCCTTATTGTTTAAAAATATTCAAAGTGTGGTTCACCCTTTTTTGTACGCTTTTTGGCTTTATGCTTTTGTTTCCCTAAGCCATCATTTTGTATTTTTCTATGGTTTGGGCCTCCCTGGATCCCTGAACTACTTGCAGTTTAGGAATAATCTACCCTCCCCAGATTCTAGGAGGCAATAAGGCAGCACTCCAATTTCATGGGGAAACCCAGAAAAGCCATCGTTTCCAGAAAGGTAGCGGAGTTAATCTATCATGGCATCTTTAGACTAATGTATTTATTGCACGTAATATGTTATGGACAATTCCCTTGGCATCTGTCAGGCTTTCTTTTCCACCTGGCTTAAAAAAAATAGATCTTTTTAATTAAGAACAATGAAAATCAAGCTGGCATTCTGCAAAGCAGAGCATCAGCCTTTCCCTCTTCACTTCTGAGCCACGTGGACATTCTTAGGAAACTTACTTAGGGTGTAATCTTATCACTTGCCATCTACAGTAGTACACTGATGGCTTAAAACAGACTGCATCTATCATGACTGCCAGTTTGTGAAAATGCCCATCATATGCTCCAATTCCACATGTGCCTGCTTGCCTCCAAAGATGGTTCTTTGCTGTTGGTTTGCAGAGGGATCATATTGTATTCAACAAAGTCTGAAGCTTTAGTAGCATTGCCTTGTTTCCTTACAACCAAGGACACAGACAAGAGGGTGTTATTTCTTCCCCTCTCCAGACCTATCCAACCTGCTGGCAGGCCATAACCTATGCTTCAAGAAGTTCTCTCTCCATCCACTGAGTTTTTTCAAAGCTTCTGTTCTACATTCTTCTTCCTGAAGATGGCTCTGAAGACTGGCATGGTCAGAACACAGCTCAACATTTACAGAAGCTTGGTGCCTCAATGGCCACTGGTTTCCACGTGGGGGGAAGTGACATCACATGTGCACATGGCATCATGCAAACAATGTAATTTTCCTTATGATGCCATTGGCATGTGACATCATCTTGGTTCTTACCTATGTCAGTCACTCTTCCTTTCTCTTTGCAGTCTCTCACTTGTTCTCAGTCTTAGGATGAGCTCATGCTAAGCTTTGTTAAGCACATTGACACAACAAGCTTGCTGGAGCATAGTTATGTAAACACAGCAAATGAACCATCTTAATGTTTTTGGCCTGGTTCACATAACCTGTTACTGTATTTTTCCATCTATAAGACGATACTTTTTCTGAAATCGTTACACTAAAAATTGAAGGTTGTCTTATGCAAGGAAGTAAGCCGAGGAGAGAACCGTGCAGTTGTGAAACTGCCCATACTTTGCCTCTGCAAGCAGACTTCCTCCCATCACGAGCCTGATGTAACTGACGTCCGCTGATGCTGAACAAACCAAGTGGAGAAAGTCTGTTTGCAGAGACAAAGTATGGGCAGTTTCACAACTGCACGGTTCTCTCCTCGGCTTACTTCCTTGCATAAGACAACCTTCAATTTTTAGTGTAACGATTTCAGAAAAAGTATCGTCTTATAGATGGAAAAATAAAGTAAGTCAATGACTGGTTC